ATATTATAATAAATGATATTACCTTTCGGGTGGTATTGGCTTGATTACTATCTGCTTATGAGTAATTTTATGTAAAATACTGTCAATGGAAGTTTGTGTATACGTGTAATCGTTGATGAATTCGGTATCAGTAACGAAAGCACATGTTTTCTTAACCATAACAAACAAAGAATCTACTAAAATATCCTAGAAAAAGTATACTTATTGTATTTGTATGAATTGAGAGAAATTTCATAAATATACGTTAACATTAATTTAATCAAAGCTCACCATGACATGCGCACTGGCTTAAGTTTTTTCTCAGTTCCTCTGAAAATAATAAAAGGTTAGCATCAAAAACTACTTTATAAAGTTCCTCTGAACATAATAAAGGGTTAAGATCAAAAACAACTTTATAAAAAAAAAGATTCAGTATAACATAAAGATCAAGAAAGTTTTTAATTTGGACTGTGATTAAGTACTAGAAATATGAAACAGGTGCTGTCTCGTTAGATTTCAAATGTTATTTTTAGTCATATTTTTAGAAACCTAAAAACTCATATTTGTGCGACTTCATATCCTTTTTGTTGTTTAATCTGTAACAAAACTGTTAGGAATCGTATGCTCTTTGATGATGTTCTCATATGATCCCGAAATAAATAAAAACCAAAATCAAGTTTTATCGTCGATTTGTAAATAAAAGGGCTTCAGGGCCATATACTATATACACCCAAATTGATCTATCTACTTATATCGTATGAAATTATTTAGATTATAGACAATGCAAGGATTATAATATAACAGGATAATTGAACATGCTTTTGTTACATTTGTTTGTTTTTATAGTGATTAAGATGATAACATAATGTTGACTGCTGTACCCCTATTTTTGACATTTTTACCTTTCGTGTCTGTTTGTTTTGTTCACGCATCGTTGTAAATATAATGGATTTTTTTATGCGACTGTCATACAAGTGAGAGGTTTAGCTAGCTATAAAACCAGGTTCAATCCATCATTTTCTACATAAGAAAATGCCTGTACCAAGTTAGAAATATGACAGTTGTTTTTCATTCGTTTGATGTGTTTGAGTCTTTGATTTTGCCATTTCATTAGGGACTTTCCTTTTTAAATTTTCCTCGGAGTTCAGTATTTTTGTGATTTTACTTTTTATAAACTCAACCAGTAACTTGGTCGAAGTCAAAAACATGAATGACATAAAGGGACACATACATAATATTGTTACCATAATTGTTTAAAAAGTCTTTTAAATTTCATTTGTTTTTGTGTCATTTAAAAAAAGTATTGTATCACTCGTCCATTCACAAGATAAATATGGTTTCTTCATGGCGATTATTTTAATTAAATGATGCAACCATTTTGTTCAACAATATAGAAATTAATCCCTACTTATAAAGAGATTTTAGCGGTATTTATAGTATAATGAGAAAGTACCAATTTGCATCAACACGATTACAATCTGATCGGTCACTGTACTCTGTTACATGTGTCTGTCGCTGCATGTAAGATCTGAAAACATCCCATAATGAGTCAGGAGCAAATGCCTTATTATGATTAAAAAGTTCAGCTAACAATTTAAAAGAATAAAAATATGTCCTTAGAACACGATTGCCTGTCTGTATTATTCAGTTCTATTTCCAGTGAAGTGTAAAATGGGGATAAAAACCGTTATTTGGTATAGCAATTAAAGACATCAAATCATAATGAACATGTGTACTAAGTTTCAAATCTATGTTACCACAACCTCGTGGTAAAGCATCTTTACGAAAAATCTTAATCTGAAACAGGGCAGAGGGATGCACAGTCCAGAAAACACAATGTCTCTTCTATCGACGAATGGGCAAACAAATAAATTAAACAATTTAAACTTCATCTTTTGCTAATAAAGGGAATCTTTTCACACAGGTCGGGGTAATTTCTGTACTATAATTGATAATTTAATGCTTCGTTTTGATATTTTATTAGGGTGAAAAGGCATTGATCAAAGCACATTTTGTATGAAGCGCTGAGCGCTGAAGCGCTTCATGATAAAAATGTGCACATTTACAACGTCTGCATACCTGCCAACTTTTCAAAATCTCCATTGTGGATTTTAAGCACAAGAGGACATTATGGTCCTTGTCATAAGTGTTTTTAATCTCTACAATTTTGTTTCAATGAGTATGTAGGTGCTTAATCACCGGTACCCTTTAAACTCATTTGAATGCATGTTTTCAGGTGTTCAGTTAATATAATAAGTAATTTCAAAATTCAGGTCAACACCTCTCATGAGGGATATCCCCCATAAAGCGGGATAGTTGGCGGCAGGTCTGCCGTCTGTACAATACTATAAAATTATAAACAAGAATGTGTCCATAGTACACGGATGCCCCACTCGCACTATCATTTTCTATGTTCAGTGGACCGTGAAGTTACGAGTTATATCAAGCGTGTTGTTTGTTTTCCAATACATCGATTTTGCGTTGTCACGGGGAGCATGAATGTGGTTTATCATTTTGAAATATTATTTTTTGAATGCCTTGCAATTTTGTCTGCCAAACAAATTAACGGATCGGAATGTAAGATACCTGTGAAACTATTTTGAAATAATTCGCAATAGAAAATGTAAATGGATAAGAGAAAAGAAGTGATAATTATCGGATTGAAACTTGAGTCATTTCGAAATGTTTTAGGTTTATAGTTTTGTCCAGCATTTAATTCAATTATGGTTGCGGCAATATATTAGATCAGGGGGGAAAATCTCAATAACGAAAATAACACCTTATATATGTGGTGCCACCGAATCACTTTTCTGTATTTCCTTCATCGGGAACGTAAAATCTTAAATAATTTATAAAACAAACAATGCATTACTACTAAGCGTTACCATACGGTATGTTCCTGCCCGAATGTTTACTATTTAACAGAAGTATCAGGTAAACATTTGAAATTAAACATATTGAGATTGATTGTATGCATGGATTAGTTTTTTTTTTAAAAGAAGATACATACAATGCTAACCCTTTACAATTATCGCTAAGCGACAAAAGGGGAATGACTATATTTTGTGACATTGATGGATTATAAAATGGAAAGAGCAATGTCTATCATAAATAAAAATGTTTTGATATATATCATCAACTCAATCTATGCATTAACCATTCATCTGATACATTGGCAAGAATTTACCAGAGACATTAAAAAAACTTCTCAATTTTTTTAACACACATGGCAACTTGATATAAACTAGCTTAATATTGTGAAAACAATGGAATTTTCGTAATTTTTCCTTTTGTGCGTTCCCGTGCGACAATTGTATTTGGTTTCCCGACTTTTTTGTCTGACAAGCGTATCTGATGAAGGTTATTCCAGAAATCGATTTCACCTTTCATATTACAAATATAAATAAACTTTGTAAATCATCTTATATTTAACGCATTCTTAGTTATATCACCTACCGAATTGTGCATCGTGATTTTGCAAAGTTTTGTCTCGAGTCACCAACCTCTGCAAATGTATAAAGATATTGTTGTGCTATTACAGATATGTTTTGCAAACCATCAATGATTAAAACGAATTTTAAACTAGATACCTTACCACTTTATGGACATTTATGAGAAACATAGGCCACAGTTAAAAGCCAGACATGAGCATGTGAACAAATTCAGAAGGGGCTTTCAATATTTTCTGTAGCAACACTGGTGTGTGCATTTCCGTTTTAAAGTACATCTCTTCTTGAAAAGTGGACCAGTTACTGATGTTAATTCGTTAAAAGTGACAGTAACTTTATTAAAAAGTCCAAATCTTACATATTTACCCATAAATATCCGTACGAGTGTTTCATGTATATATTTTTTTTGGCAAAGTAGATACTTTATAAAATGCCAATGCTTAGTTGTGTTCGAATAAATTTTGTTCTTGTCTGCACATTACTTGTTTGTCAAGAATTCAAAGTTAAAGCACAGACAGGCAAATTACATGTTATTTTCATTCACTTCTTACTGTGTATAAACCGGATACGATGATTTCGTTCCAAGACAGATAACTCTATTGTCATTTTCACGGTACTGAAAGACCAACTCAAGATCTGTCCATAACCTTCTGCCATGAACATGTAAACTAAGGTGAATTGTATAATATGTTGTCTCGGTTCAAACATACTTTTATTGGTATAAATATTGATTTTGTTTCCACTAAATTAAGATCAAACTAAATATTATTTTTATATACATATGCACAATCATGGCTCTACAATCTGTCAATATCTATATCTTGGCAGTGCATGATTTTTTTATTCGTAGTTATTGGCTTTGAACTAGCTGTCAGTAACTGCGAATACTCTCAGATCTGTACTAAGTATCTTTTTTTGTTGTGGTGATGTATATGCAGTCTGTGTTTTTGTTGAATGTATTTCTGCTGTGTATCGATCTGACGAGTTAAAACCTTTTAAACTGATTTTATATTTTGTTCTTATGTTGTACTGTTACACCACTGACCCAGGTTAGGGGGGGGGGGGGGGGGGCGGTGGGGGGTGGGGGGGCTGGCTCCATGAAACTAGTTAAGCCCCGCCACATTCCATATGTGCCTGTATTAAGTAAGGAGCCTGTGATTTGGTGGCTATCGTTTATTACTGTTTCTCATAATTGTTTTTCGTTTATTGTTTTGTATAGTTTTATCTTATGTTGCACCGTTGCACCATTGTCCCAAGTTAGGGTAGGATTGGCGCCTTCAAACCTGTTTAACCCCGCAGCATTCTGTATGTGCCTGTCTAAAGTCAGGAGACTGTACATCAGTGGTTTTCGTTTGTTGCTGTATATCATATCAGTTTTTCGTTCATTGTACATGAATCAGGCCATTACTTTTCTCGTTTGAATTGTTTAACATTTGTCATTTGGGGGACCTTTTATAGCTGACTGGAGACGTTTCAAATATATAGTCTGTCTTACTTACTTTGTCTATTTCCAAAAATCTTTTTTCCAGGTCTCTCTTTAACTGAGAAAATGTTTTAAGGAGCATGATTTCGACTGTCTTTAGTTCATTTTTCATCGTAATAAAATCATTATCTGTTTCTGTTGCCACAAGTTGTGCATATTCAGCAAGAACGTGTGTTTGTTGACGAAACTCGTTTACTAATTCAAGACCATGAGTAGTTCCGCTCAAAAACCGTGGACCTAAACAAAAATAATGTGAAGATAGATATCAATAATGAAACATTTGCTTGACAACTAACAATTTCCTCGAAGTTAAACTGTTCCTAAATTTAATAATTTCAACTTATGCCACAATTGTTAACCTGAAACCAGATAAAGGCTCTTTCGATCATTTGCGTTCATGTGAATCGCTTTACATATTTAAAAATGGCCACTTTTCTTTATTGTACACTATAATATCAAAATCTCTTTGATATTGATTTATTATTGCTTATCATTTTATTATGTACAGTTTATCCCTAACTTCCGTAGTTTTCGTTTTCGTACGAAAAAAAAAGGAAATCGTCGTCATTTAAGAACAATAACTTCTTATAAGGAGATGACTGACAATTTTAACAATTTGACATTTCTGTAGATCTGGTTCTGCTGATTGTTTTTGCTTTTTTAAGTTTCTTTTTTTTCTGTTACAGCTATCGGGATTATAAGCAAAAACGCAACAATTGAGATACATCGTCATTTGAGGGCAATAACTCCTTTAAGGTGGTACCTAACACTACAGGGAGATAACTCTGTAAAAATCAGCTAAACGTTTTAATCACGTTGCATTGTTAAGGAAATATTAAGCTTCTCAATGATCAAAATTAGTGTTTGTCAAACTGCTATATAACCAATGAAATTTTTCTGATAAAGTGGTTGGTTCAAATTTTTTGAAATTTCTATATTTTTGTCAAAGGGTCAAAGTAAATATTTTGTCAAAATTTTATGAAAATTAAACGAGCCAAATTAATATAAGTCAAGGTGTTGGGTACCACCTTAAGGAGTAGACTGTCGTTTTGGAAAATATTGTTTTGTTGTTCATTTGTTCTATTTTAAGTTTCTATCTATCTTCATTGAAAAGGCTAAACGCCAAACGAAATGATAAAAATATTCTTGTTATGGCAGTAACTACTTTAAGTACTGACAATTTTGGCTTTTTAACTTATTTGTAGATCAGTTCTTGCTGATAATTCTTGTTATTCAAAATTTCTATCAATTTATGCTCTTCAACTTCGTACTTTATTTGACCTTTCACTTTTTTTAACTCGAGTGTAACTGATGAGTCTTTTGTAGACCGCATCTGGCGTACAAACTATAAGCCTGGTATCTTTCTTCAGATTTTCTATATTGACTGACTTGTAGATGTTATCTAGCTGATCATATTTGCTATTTAAAGTTTCTATCTATCACTATTTTACCTAGTTGTCACGATAATATGCAAACAAATGACAACAAAAAATGGAAAAAATGTCACTAAACGGCAATAACGCTTAGACAATGTTAGAAATCTTATTTACAGATCCTCTCTTGTTTGTCGTTTTTGCTATTGAAAGTTTATATCTATCTGGGATAGTTTTTAGGATGATAGGCAAACAAAATGTCATTTAAGGGCAATAACTTCTATATGGAGTGGACAAACGATTTCGATTGTTTAACTTATTTGTAGATCATGTCTTGCTGACCATTTATGTTATAAAAAGTTTCTCTCTATCTTTTATAGTTTTTTTCAAGATAATCGGAAAAATGAAATTTTTTTTTTTTTTTGTAGGTTAGTCTGAGATGGTCTTATACTGATCTTCCTCTAAATAATATAGGCTTCGGAAAGCTAGACACAGTAAACAATTCCTAAAGTCCTTTTCAATCCGCAACATTCCATACCACTTATCCAATAAGTCCAGTGAAATATATAAGTTCTTTACAAGTGTGGTGGGGTCAGATATGTTTGCGACCGCGCAATTCTCGCCCTTACCAGGAACAGTGATGTAATAGCACAACATAAGAAAAAAGTGAAAGATTTTCATGAAATATATCAGCTCTCATTGCTAATGTTTGTTTACTTCATGTATATTAAATATTAGATTTCCACTGACAAAATGCTTAGTAAAATGTTATAGGTTATATCTGCCTATAAGTATGTTCAGCATATTAACATTTTTATCAACAAAACAAGCATATTTGGACATTACCATTCATTTCCCATTTTTTGATTCCCCCGATGATTTGCTTTTCTTTATTGAGACTAAGTTTAAGGTCCTTGACTAGCTTCTTCATCAGTTGGAATGAATTGGAATACTTTACAGCATCCCATTCAGTAAAGTCACAATGAGCCCAAGGATTTCTTATATACCGTCGTACCTATCATGAAACCAAATTCATTCTACATGTATGCCATCACTATGTTAAGAATTGATAAGGAATTGGTAAGCAAGTTAGGTAGCAAAGCACCAAATTGTTTTTGAAAGTGATTGTAAAGTTGTGTCACAGCGACATCATATTACATTTTCCTTACGTGATTCTTGAACAAGATATTATTTTTTTAACACCAAATAAAAAGTAGAATTTAAAGTTTTTTTGGGAAAACTGTCAAACCACTTACAGTTAAAAATGCGACACCTTTATCAGTAAACATTTTTTTAAAAGTGTAATCTTTTCTAAATGTACAAACTATTTATTTATTTATTATGTTCTGTTAACGATATATAGGGATATCGAAAACTTTATTATTTTTGAATTTTTTTATTGAAAATTTCTTATTCTCAAAAATAATGAACGTCTCGAATATTTAGTGAAATGCCTAGTTCACACCAAGTATTCAATCTGTTAGCGTAACTTGGTTTATTTTGGTACCTCTCGTAATATGAACATTTACTTTTAATAAAGATTTTTATTTTAATGAACTTTTGATACCGCTGGTTTCACAAATAAATATCATTACTACGGAACACATTAAACAAATACTATGAGTGGCGCAAATTATAAAAAGTTAAATAACAAAAATACCGAACTCAAAGGAAAATTCAAAACGGAAAGTCCCTTATCAATTGGAAAAATCAACAGCTCAAACACAGATATAAATCTACACAGATACTTTACGTACATCTTCGGCATCAGACTTTACGATTGGAGCGAACTGGTCAATATTGATGATCAATCCCAGCAAAGCGGAGGAGTCACATGTTTCATCAAAGCCTGTATAATGTACCATATGTGTTTGTAGGAATAGCTTGGATAGATCCACAGCACTCTTGATCATGTAGTCGTACTTTGCTTTATAATAACCATGTTTTACTTTGTTGTTGTTGACTGCTTCGTAATTAAGGGATGTCTTGTTTGTTAATGGATGTTTTTGTAAATGCTTTGAAAAAGTTTGTGTATCAAGGCTATGTTTAATAGATAACTTATAACAAAGTTTTGTTAAAGCTGGAACAACATATTTCCTCATGGCTGGGGATATTACGCCGTGTAGGCATATTCCAACAACCAACCATCTTTTCTGAACATCGTCTAAGTCTGCTGGTTTTGCTGAAAATAAGGTTGAAAAATGAAATGTTTATTCAAAGTATATTAGTTTAGGACAGTGATGGAGTTTTACAGTTGATGTACAATTGGTGTTGAATAAGCATTGTTTCTTGCAAAAAACGTGCATTCTACTGTTATATTTCTTTGATATTGTCATATAAGACATGCGTCGGTGACTTTGTAAAAATTCAAATTGTTCAAATAATAGGGTTTCAGTTTTCTTACGAATTAATATAAATGTATAAAACTTTTTTTGTTAATGAAAAAGGCAAAGAAGTCAGATCAACTTACTGTAACTTTTATGGAACGATTAAAGCTTCAAAGGTTGTCCTTAACAACATCTATGTATGCTTATTGCACTCTTTAAACGCAGAATTGGTCATGGTTGTTAAGAATGGCCTTTAACAGCGAAACTGAAGCAATATCTGTCTAAATTAAATTTTTGGAACTTTTATTAACGCTTACAGTGACATTGATAATATGTTTGCTTAAAATTATCAAACATTCTTTATCTATGGGAACTAACTTTGAAAGGGGCGTAAGCGGTCAAATCATGTTTTCCAATTTGACTCAAATTTTCATATCATGTACATTTATTACAACTAAAACGTATATCAAAGTTACAAAAAGTCCGATTAAAAAAAATTAAGAATGCATGGACTAGTTATAATACATCAGTATTACGTGTGTATTTTAGACTAGACGTCATATTATTAATCACCGAGATTACGTACGAAACATGGCATTTGACCCTATATAAACATAAATATGAATGTAATAAAATTGTACGGTATCAAATCTATCATATGAGCACTTTGACACTAAACATCTTTTCAGTGATGTTCGAATACTCAGACAAGCACGTGCAGTCGTATAATGACAATTGTCTTTAGATTTGTTTGAAAATCATTATTTTTATCTGTAGAAGAAAGATCTATTTTCAAACTCAACAAACTTAGCCCATGTGTCACCCATCTCAAGCTAAGTGTCAAATTGAAGAATCATTCAAATGAGGTTGATTTTTTTTTACTTGCAACCCAATAATACAAGATATATTTTGATCATATTTTGACCCACAATAACTGTTCATTACGAAATATAATTATAATATTCCGCTTTAAGAAATATTCTCAAAAAAAAAATCATATTTCATTTTTTGGTCTTAATAATAGTTTATATAACAATAAGAACATGTGGTATGATTGTTCATTAGATAACTCTCCACCAGAGACCCTTTAAGGAAATGTAATAGACACAGCAAAATAGTTGTCCTTTTCTAGATAAGGATCTATATTCCAATTTAACACGTAACCGCTTTAAAAACATATTACGTAAGAGACGATCATTTGTTCCCTATTTTTTATGTTCCTTCATTGGATGGCGATGTCCCTTTGGCCCTTATTACAGTGCAAATATCTCCAAAATCGTTTGTTTTGCTCGTGTCCGTAGGATCATTTTAAATTTCAATGAACATAACCTAGGTATAACAGGTATTTCCTTAAAATATTGACACCTTGATGTATTAACTAAAAACCAATCTTTATCAATAAATTTGTGATTATCACTTATGTTTAACCAGTTATCTTCTGAATTCCTATGACAACGGTACCATTCTTTAAACACAATGCACTACATTTTGAAGTTTAGTCGTTATGTGATTATTAAATGATGTACGAATACCTATTACTCGTTGATGTTTTGAAGCTATCACATTGATTTCATCTTGTAATTCTTTCGGGATAGAACGTTTTATGCCACTTGACGTCGAAGGTTCTTCCTCCATGTTCTGTTAGTAACAATGCTGGTTTTTTTTTATCTGTCACAGCATGTGATCTTATAGATTGTCTTCCATCTCTGTATCTTTGTTACATCATTTGACATCAATCTTTTTAGTGTTAATTCATTCTAGGAAAATAATATTAAGAAGCATACAGTTTGTCATTGGTCAGGAAGAAGGTTATATTTGGTTTGTAAAAATGTTTTACCCATTATGTTATCTTAAACAATTTGCAGGATAACACTAAAAACTATAAAAATGCTTATTCGCATGAAGATTGATGCATGCAAGCAGTAGACGTTTAATAGAAAAGGTATTAAAAAAAATAAATGTTCTTAGACGCTTGAAATTCAGATTAAAAAGGAAATAACTAAAAATATATCGAACTTTTATTATGCCAGTTCTTGGATATTCTTCAGAAGTTTTGGATAATAGAAGATTAGAAACATTACAGCTGGAAGCAGCACGTATTGTCACTGGTCTAACAAGCTACGCTAGCCCTCATTCACTCTATTTAGAAAAGGGATGGGAAGGGTTAAAGATTCGACGGGAAGTTAAAAAATTAACTTTACTTTACATTATTATGAATAGGGATATTCCAGAATACTTATTATATTTAATACTCCAACCGTGGCAGAAACAAACAATTACAATCTATGAAGTACTCAAAATATATACCAAACTCCAAGCAGATTGTCCCTTTATCAAGAATCTTTTATTCCATCTAGTATGAAATTCTCTCGATATGACTTTTAGAAATGGACTCTCTTGAAATATATTTTAAACAGAAGTATTATAAAAACTAATCACCCCTACATATCAAATTTACATTTTGCGATAGATATTTAAATGTTTTTCACGCAAGATTAAGAAATAAATGCAGTGCGCTTAACATGGATTTGTATCATGCAAATATTAAACCCAATGCAATGTGTCAATATGGATATTTATATGAAAATGCTCATAAAATAAAAACAAAGCGTTAAATAATTTCATGCGTTTGAAGCGCTATTCTGGATTTACCTTTCATCAGTGACGGTCAAAGCCGAATATTTGAAAACCAAGAATGAATAATAACCTAAACAGTTGAAGAGCTATATGACCAGAAAGGACCTAAAAAAAAATAGCCAAATTTATCTAAGGTCAGCTTTGCCTGAGGGATTTGAAACCTTTGTTTCTTATAATTTCAAAATTTATAAACGGACAATTTTAGAAAGGTTTGTTATTGATCATGTCAGTACCGAAGTACTGATTACTGAGCTGATGATACCCTAGGAGACTGATAGTCCACCAGCAGAGGTATCGACCCAGTGCTGTAAAAAATGAAAACAACACGTTAAATAATTTCATGCGTCAGATGCGCTTCTCTGGATTTACCTTCATCAGGAACGCTCAAAGCCGAATATTTGAAAACCAAGAACATATAATAGCCAAAACAGTTGAAGAGCTATATGACCAGAAAGGACCTAAAAAAATAGCCAAATTTATCTAAGGTCAACTTTGCATGAGGGAATTGAAAACTTAGTTTCTTATAACTTCAAAATTTATATACGGACAATTTTAGAAAGGTTTGTTATTGATCAACATTATGTCCTCTCATGTAAAAATTATGCAGCTCCATGGAATACCTTATTTTTTTAACTTAGAAAAGAAAACTCTGATGATAATAGCATGTATAGTTACTCTATAGATTTAAAAACGCTAATTTTTATAAAAATGTAGAATTTTGTTAAAACGACCAATCGCTTTTCATTATATTTAGACATTATTGCTAATCATATAAACATTTAAGTTTATTTACTTGTTTTGTTGACCACGAATTGAATTATTCAATTTATTCAAAGATATGGACCATCCATTTGATTTTATATACAATATCATATATGTTGACACAATAATGTGCTTGCTTTGAAAATAAAATTTACATTTAGAGTGAATGTTTATTCCCAGATTAAAACATCCTACTTGGTTTTTGACAAATAAATTTACGGTCAACTCGACTTTTAGAAATCGATGATCTACGTCGTTTCAATTTTTGTTCATTTCATGTCTCCATATTAATATTGTATATGATGCTATTCACATGTATTTTATTTTGTTCAGTAATTTATTATTTGTGTGTAATGAAGAAGACGTTCTAAGTTGAAAAACCTTTGACTGGTAAAAATAAAACCCTAACCACTGAGAGAATTGTATGAAAAACACCTTAGACAAAAGGCTTTGTGTTACATATACTAGTAAAAACAATCTTTGAAAATGAAATAGCTCTTGTATGAAAAAAAATTCAATACTAAAGCCTACTTGATAAAAACAAAACTTACTATTTTTTTTCATTGGGAGAATTGTGTGCCAATAGCAGAATTCATTTACAACTATGCTGGTTCTAAATGTCAGCGTTTCCTTTCCATTTATTTTCGTGGATACCAATTTTCATGGCTTGAGGAGAAATTGTATTTTCGTGGATATTTCATTTCGTGGTTTTGATCATGTTTCCATACAAGCATATAGAAAATTTGAACTTCGTTGAACATTTAAATTCGTGGATCACTTTTACCCACAAAATCCACGAACATTGGTCTCCAATGAATAATAATGAATCCACAGTATTCATAATAAAAAAATCAAATCAACATTAGATGATAATAACATTTTGTTAAATGTACCTCCTTCAAAGGGCCATTAGCTACGATTTAGACAAAAATTTATATACGATTATTTTTGTTTCAAGTATAAATAAAAGAGGACTTTTGATATAATATTTCGTTACAAGCAGTCAGTTTGTCTCAAATTTGTCAAAATAAGCTCAAAAACATCGATGATGTATCATTGACTTGCAAGTCAATGATTTAACCTCATTTTATCCGTATTCATGTGGCCTCCAATTTAACCCTTTAGGTAGAGATGGGTTACGCATGTACTAAGCATGTTCAGCTATTAAAAGGGAAAGAATGTCAACATTTGGTTGGCGGATTCAATCCACAAAAGATCATTCTTATACAGATAAAAACATATTTTAACCTATAATATGAAATCAAACATATCTAGAAAAATCCTTTGCACCTGCTCGCTTTCTATTGCTATTTCTATTAATGACCGTCGTCAGTCTTTGGAGGTCATCGCAATAGTTAATTAGACGGCATCTAGACTGAAATACACGAAATGCTCATACATATTATCGAGTCCATGCATTGTTAATTGTTTATTTTAGACTTTTTGTAATTTGGATATACGATTTAGAATGATAGAAATCAAATATGAGAATTTGAGTGAAATTTGTGAACATAAATTTGACAGTTGTGCCCCTTGAACTAAAAGTTAAAACATTTCAATAATTCAGGTGTTCCGAAATCATTGTATATAAAGTACTTATTTTCTGTTATCTAATAACCATTTAATATTCGTTCAATTTGTTTTGGGTTGTTTTTAGTAATTATGTTTAAGTATTGAATGTTTTTGTTACAAGAGTTATTCGATTTTAAAAGGCTTGTTTATATATAATACATAACCTTCTGTTTAAGTTTTTCTAAGTGTATGTTCATATTGCATATAAACATTCGGTTAACAACTGCTGCCTGTAATTTGAAAGCAACACATTTTTGACAAAAAAAGAAATAAATTATCGCAATGTAAAGCAATATGTAAAACAGAAAGGATATAAAAAGTTTCTCGGAGCGTTGAATTGTTATTTTTCACTACCGTAAGAGTTATGTGAACCTGCCATTGTTCTTATGATTTGACAAACATTATTAATCAAGTGCATATCAGAACTCTCTTTTCGCACTCAAAACTTGATACTGGTCGAAATGAAATTATTTTTGCAAGTCTATAGCTATGAAAACACTTTTAAAATAACAATAGATATAAGAAGATGTGGTATGAGTGCCAATGAAACAACTATCCATCCAAGTCACACTTTGTAAAAGTAAACCATTATAGCTCAAAGTACGGCCTTCAAAACGGAACCTTGGCTCACACCGAACAGCAAGCTATAAAGGGCCCCAAAAATATTCACATTATTCTATCAATTTCCCTTTTTATTGAGATAAGAGGCCAATGAATTAATAATGTGTCATGTTAGGGCTGTTTTAATTCAAGTATTGGGGACCGCTCATTATTTATCTCCAGTGGGCCGGCAGAAAAGTAGGGGGTCATGAGAAAAATGAAAACTGATAGAAGGGTGTCACTCCTTTCCAGGTTGATCAAGCAGGGGGTCATGATTTTATAGGCCATAGATTCACTGATCGCCATATTGTGCCATGACCATAGACTATATTGTTATTGTGGGCCCTTCAGAGCTAACTTGCAGCTTGATGTGGGTTCCACATGTTGAAGAAATAAATGTGGTGACTTCTGAATGTTATTTCTACTTTTGCATGTAAAATAAAAAATGGATTTACATATAAATGGAAATAATGATATTCAGCCCAAAAAAATGTCTCCTAGTTTTTACATTTTGCAAAATATCAAACTGTCACTATCAGTGATCTAACTTGAGCTAGTCACTTTACTCTTTGACTAATAATAAAGTCAAGTGAGAAATGAATTTTGCCAAAAAACGTGCAAAATTAATCATTTTTTATATTTTTTTCTTATATGTTATAGGACTAAGAAAAAAATTGAAAACAACACGTTTAATAATTTCATGCGTCCGAAGCGCTTTTCTGGATTTACCTTCATCAGGAACGCTACTAGGAGAAGTGACTATAAAACTGGTTTCAAAATCCTGGCTTCACCACAGCAAAAATAGACTTTCAGTTTGCTCTCAAGTCTTATGGAATAATTTTACATATTATACATATAAAACACAATTTATAAAAGATTGATCACATTAAAAAGTCGTGTTCATTTGATTTGAATATTTCATTTTCCTTTCAATTTTTTACATTTTTTAAAACACTTGAAGACTGCGCTGCTGGAATGTTGCTACATAGAAAAGTTCACAATTGGGAAGCTGAAATCATCTCTTTTGTCGTAAATTTTTAAATTGATATATTTCAGACGTCGGATAGTTGTAGTTTTTTTCTCCTCTTAACCAGATAATCTCTTACATATACAACCACTGACAAATCAAACTTTGGATGTGCAAATATTTTATTTTATAGAATGAAAGATTGCAAAACAATGACTATAAGACATGTTTTTTTTTTCATTTGAGT